ATTAAAACGTATCTGGTACTCTGCTAAGCACATGTACACATAACAGTTCATGTTAATCCTCCCAGAAGATATGAACAAGAGCAGGCAAACAGAGATTATGAGCCCCGCCAAAGCTACCCGCTAGTAAGTCCTCACCTGGAATGTTCCTCTGGGTCCAAAGCACCTGCTCTGATGTGCTTGAAGCCCCATTTGTGCCTTCACCTGTAGGAACTCAGTGACATCCATCCACTTTGGCATGATGTCCGTATTTTATGCTCTCATTACTTACATGACTCTTATCCCCCCTGAATCAAAAGTACTCATGTTGGATATGTATTGGAAAAAATATTTATCATCAGTATGTATAGTTTTCTTATTTATTCTCTTTCCTTTATGCAAAATATTGTACAAGTTTTGCTTTCAGAAAATCTGCATCATAAGAGATTGTGTCTGAGGTGTAAACAGCCAAGTCATGATGCATGGTAAGGAGAAAATGAGAGCAATCGTGAATTCTGTAGGACCTCCAATATGATTTATTGTAATAGAATGTTTTTAAATAAAGAATATTGCTTAAAGTTGCATTTCTGGATCTCGTGACCTAGGAGAGGAAGCAAACCTAATAGCTACCACCTCTGTAGTGAATTTTCAAGTCAAAATAATAGCTTCTAATCAGTCACCTCTAGAACGTTGATTCCAAGATTTCAGCCAGAGAATAAGGATGGTACTAAAGCATGCATAATAAGCCTGAGCGTGGTGCTATCCCTCGTTCCTGTGCCACTTTATAAAATAAAAATGGTATTATTATTATTTATTGTTTTTAAAGTAATACTTTTCCCATAAAATCTTGTAGTGTTACTTTTTGCATTTATCATAATAGTCCATCTAGATTTTATTTTTGAATGTAGTTGGAGGTAGAAGTTGAAATTTATTTCTTTTAAGTAGATGCCTTATCATATCAACACTATTTATTAATAATTCATCCTTTTCTTCTGAAGTTGAAATAATACCTTTACCATACATTAGTTTCCCATTTACATCTGACGCTACTTCTGAACTTTATTCCAGTCTACCAGTATATTTGTTTATTATATACAAATACCATGCTATTTATTTATAATCGCCTTCTATTACACTCTAATATATTGCAAGATATTATTCTTTCTTCCCAAGATTTTCTTGGCAATTTTCACATATTTATTTTATAATATGAATTTTATAAAATTTTGTCCTCTTACCAAAATAGGAAACTGAATTCTGATTGTTGTTGCATTAGGTTTATATATTAATTTGGGAGAGGGTGAGTTTCTTTTTTTAGAAATTGAAATTTCCAATCTTAGAATATGAAATGTCACTCAATTTGTTCAGGTATTGGCGTTAGGACCATCAGTAACATTGAATAGCGTTTTTTTATTAGGTTCTGTAACCTTTATGTTCGTTATTTTTAGGTATTTTAGTGTTTTAAATTATTGTGTGTGGGGTACATTTTTTCCCATATCCATTTCTAAATGCTTATATTATAAATATTATATATAAATTATTTATTTTAAATAAAGCTATTTTATGTATAATTTTGTATATCCAATCTCCCTATTAAATTTTCATGAATTCTATTCAATAGTAGATTTTTAGCTATCCTATCTATTAAAACACCTTCTCTTCCTTCCATTTATTTTCTTATTTTATTGTATTAGCTAGAGAACCAAAAGTACTGTTGAATAAAAGTGACCTTGTTCCTGATTTATATGTCAAGGCTTCAGTATTTTACCATTCAATATGGTGTTTACCAGGTGTATGGGTTTGTATATATGTGAGTGTGTGTGTGTGAATATATTTTATATTTAAGTAGTTTCATTCTATCACTATTTTTCTTAGGATTTTTTTTTTTTTTTTACTTAGGATTTATATTAGGAATGGCTACTGAATTTTGTCAGCATTTTGGGACTTTGATTAATCTAATCCTAGGATATTTTCTCTTTGATTTATTAATGCAGTGAATTATATTGATATTAAATATTAGGAATGTAGTTTAGGAAAATATATGAGTAACCTTCAAGTGTGGGAGGCCTTCTTAATATAGGAAACACAAAAGTCATAAGGGAAAAGATTTCAAGATTTAAGTTTAGAAAAAAATGTTGGGAACTTCCCTGGTGGTCCAGTGGTTAAGACTCCATGCTTCCATTGCAGGGGGCACGGATTCAATCCCTGGTTGGGGAACTAAGATCCCGCTTGCCGCACGGTGCAGCCAAAAAAGAAAAAGAAAAAAACCTTACATTTCTGAAATGGTGCATACAGCATAAACAATGTCAGTTGACACCCTTATGAAACAAAGAATTATAACCACTACTTAGGATAAAAAGACCTTTTATGAATTGATAAGAAAAGGATAAGCCATAAGGGAAAATAAAAACAACACGATACGATCAGGCAATTCATTAATTCAACAGTTTGTTTTTTTTTTTAGTTCCTACTATATTACTGACACTCTTCTAGATCCTGAGATAATAGCAATGAGCAAAACGATCAAAGACTCCCAGCCTCCTGGACCTAATGTTCTAGCGGGGGGATTCATCTCACAACAGGTTCTGGAGGTCCCTCCCCGGCAGCACATGGAGATCTTCCTCATTCTTTTTTAGGACAGAGAATGACAAGTACATACTCCTTTGTATGGTTGTGTGAAAAGTTTATTCAACCAGTCTCCTGCTGCCACACGCAGGTTGCTTCTAATCTTTTTAGCTTTTGCAAATAATACCTCAGTGGAGAACCTCGTTTATTATTAGATCATGCTAAATTTCCCTCCCTAGCTGTTGTACCATAATCATGAGATTTCCTGTTTCTCCACAGCCTTGCTAACAGAGTGTTTTCAGTCTTTGGGATTTTGTCAGTCTGGGTAGATGAGAAACAGAAAACACATACGTCGGTGTGATTTTAATACGCTTTCTATTATTCTGAGTGAAATTGAGCATCTTTTCATGTTTATGGGCCATGTGAATTTTTTTCCTGTGAACTTGGTTTTCCTGTCTTTTGCTCACTTTTAAAATTTATTTGTTGGTCGTTTCTCTATTTCTACAAACTCTTTAGGGAGATTAACCCTTTGTTGTGATATTAACTGTGAATGTTTTTCCCAGTTTATCATTTTTCTTTTGTCTTTGTTTGCTGTATTTTTTTTTAAATCAGGCTTCTTGCTATGCTTTTAGTACAGTGAAAATTACCCTTTTTAGGTTCCATAAATTTGATAAATGTATAACCACCACCTTATAATAAAGATATAAAATATTTTCACCAACCCCAAAAGTTTTCTCATGTCCGTTTGCAGTGAGTCCCCTTTCCCGCCTCCATCCCCTGGTACCACTGACCTGATTTCTGTTTTGCCTTTTTCAACCTGCCCTAAATGGAATCATACAGTATATCTGGTTCTTTTTTATATCTGGCTTCTTTCACTTAGCATAATGCCTTTGAGATTCAACCATGTTTTTGCATGTATGAGCAGTTCTCTTTATTGCTGAGTAATATTTCTTCGTTTGGATGTATTTATCTATTTAACAGTTGATGGATATTTTGGTTGTTTCCAATTTGGAGGTACAGTGTATTATGAGCAAAGCTGCTTTAAACATTTCCATACAGGTCTTTGGCGACTTTGCCGTACAGAAGTTTTTTATATTTATATAATCAAATGCATAAATCTTCTCTTTTATGGCTTTTGGATTTTGAGACATAGTTAGAAAGATAATAAGAGGATTCACTATTTTTTTTCCTTCTAGTACTTGTATGGTCTCATTTTTTTTACATGCAGATCTTTGATCTATTTGTAATTTATCCTGATGTGAGGCATAAATCAATTTTCCTTTTCCAACTGGCCACCCAATAGTCCCCAAATTCCTATATAAATCTTTTAAATCTGATTTAAGAAAATCTACTTTACAATTATTTGTAATTACTTACAGTTTATTAGAAACATTTTAAGTTTATTACAATTATTTGTGTTTATCACAAATATTCAATTAAAGCTAGAAGTTAAAAACCTATTTTTCTTTAAACCCTCAAATACAACTTACAAATCTAGGAAATTCAATTATAAATCAAGTAATTTTGTATTAAAATTAAAACACTCATTTTCATTGTTCTTTGATTAATGTTTAATTAGCTTATACATTTAACAAATTGTAATCCCTTAAACATTTAAGCACAGTTTACAAACTTAACCAAATTACCTTAAAAATTATAAATTAAAGCCACAAAACTCGTAAATCTAATAAATTAAATTCTCTTAAATTTAAATGACACTGACAAACATGATTAAATCCTCTTAAGCATTTCAATCTATCTCATGAATTTAATATATTTGGTTTTCTCAAGTACTTCTGAAATCTAAAGAGGCATAATTACAAACCTAACAAAATCAAAACACATGTTTATAAAACTGTAGAGAAACAAACTTAAAAATGTAGATGATCAAACTCTTTTAAACATTTGAACATCTTAAAATCATTATAAATTTAATAGATATTCCTAAGTTTAAACGTTGAGTACCAACTTAATCATTTGCATTAGCCTATGTATTTAAATTAAAATGACAAATACAGCGTGTCAGATTCTTGGCAGCATTTTAAACATCTTAAGGACACACAAAGTGCAGCTTCTAGTTATAGTACTACTGTATACCTTCCCTGCCTCTAGCAGTGCCGCTAAAACAATAATTATAGGGTTTTTCTAAAGCATAAACCCGCAAAGACAAAAGAGAATGGGAAAGGCGACAAAGGCAACAATTTTGCATGCTGAAAAGCGGATGACTTACTGGTAGCTGATTTAACAGCCCTGAAAAAGCTGAATTCTAAGCTAGTGGTAGGGAAGTCAGGAAGTAATCAGGTTTGTGCCCCAGAACCTCAGAGCAGGGTGGCTCAGGAATGGGCGGAAATAGGTTCTTTTTGAATGCTAGAGTAAAAAAGGACCTTCGAACAAGAAGGATGTTCGACATCCTGTTTGTGTGTGTGTGTGTGTGTGTGTGTGTGTGTGTGTGATCCCATTTCCCTGACCAGGGATCGAACCTGGGCCCCAGCAATGATAGCACCGAGTTCTAACCACTGGACCACCAGGGAATTCCCAACAGCCTGTTTAAAATGTGGTTAGAACCACCTTCATCTTCGTCCCCTACTCTCCTTTGCACAACCAGCAAGAGCTTTGCCTCACCACCCAGGAGAAGACCAGAAGTTTGGTCTCTGGAGGGGTAAACTAGGGATACAATGGACTCAGGACCCCAGGCCACTGGGGACAGAGGAACTCAGGGCTGAATATGGCAAGGGATTAAGTGAAAATCCACATACTGAACTGGGAGACTCACTCTGACTTCCCAGTGACTCACAGAAAGCTGTGGGCAGCCAGGTTTATACCCTCCAGGAAGAAAGCTGGAAGATTCTTCACCAGGCTGAAAAGAGATATCAAGATATTAATAGTCAGGATCCTCCAACCAAAGAGCTTCAGCAGATCACCCTACAGTGAGGTCCTCCTCTGGCCAAGCCCTGCTCAAATGCCCAGATCTTCCAGTCAGCTTCCTAGCACCCTACTCCTGAATACACATGAATGGTGTTGAGTTATCAGGCTTTTGAGGAAAGCCAAAACAAATTAACAATAACAACAACATACAGGAAATGAAACCTTGGAAAAAACAAAGACAATGAACAAAGGCAGAACAAAATACTCATCAGTAATATCCTCAGAAGGATAAGAAAGTTATTGTATCCATGAAACAAGGACAGTACACAATAAAAAAGAAACACTCAGAAAACTAAAAAGAGCTTTTAGAAAATAGAAATATATAGGAAAAGCGAAAAACTGCTTAGAAGGGTTGGAGTATAAAATTGAGAATATCTCCTAGAAAAAAAGAATCCAAAGTAAATGATGGGCAGTAGGGAAAAAAAACGTAATAAAAGAATTAGACCAGGATGTCCAATACCTGGAAAAAAAGAAATTCCAGAAAAAATTATACAAGAAAATGTCCTAGACGTGAAGTATTCCCAGATTAAAAGCTCTCACCAAGTACCCTGCAAAATAAATGAAAAAATGAGATACCATGCCAGGTATCTCAAGCAAAGTCCATTGAGGAGGGAGAAACCATACTTATTTTACCAGAAACAATTTATTATTAAGGATTGTTAACTAATAGAAGATGGTTAACAACTTAAAGGGTAAAAGAAGGCAAAAACTTGTACACGAATGTTTATAGAACCTTGTTTCATAGTAACCAGAAACTGGAGCTAAGCATGAAAACAATAGTTTGGAAGAAAATCCAGAAGTTGTGGGAGAGCACAGTTTGAATCCAGGATGAAAATGGGAGGGAATAGGGGTGAATCTGAGATGTCTACAGCTTTCCCAAAGTGGAAATCAAAAGGAAGCTAGCTCTAAGTCACTGCAGAGCCAGCTTAAGCCCAGCACTTTACTGCTGTTGTCACCATGCTCTCCATGCCACAGAGATAATATTCTGAGTAAAACATTAAAGACTCAGACGTTGAATACGGGAAAATTTTAGGAATACCTTCACCTATTTATTCTACTTGTATTTTCCATTTTTAGGTATATACAAGGCTAATGTAAATTTATTATATTAAAATTAACGTAATACATGTGTTGTGTTAATATAATTTATAAAATTAATGAAGTACAGTTGACCCTTGAACAACAAGGCGGGGGCAGCCACTGACCCTCCATGCAGTTATAAATCCTTGTATAACTTCAGCGTCTACCCTCCTGTTGAAGGTTTTGCATCTGTTGCAGGAAGGGGGACCCCTTCCAGCGGCTGAGAGTGGGCTCTTGTCTAATACTCGGAAATGAATTGTCCAGGGAAACACACGTGCTGACAAAATGAGAGACTTTATTGGGAAGGGGCCCCCGGGCGGAGAGCAGCAGGGCGAGGGAACCCAGGAGAACCGCTGTGCCACGTGGCTCGCAGTCTCAGGTTTTATGGTGATGGGGTTAGTTTCTGGGTTGTCTCTGGCCAATCATTCTGACTCAGGGTCCTTCCTGGTGGCACATGCATCGCTCAGCCAAGATGTATTCCATCGAGAAGGATTCTGGGAGGCTGGTAGGATATATGGACTGACGTCTCCTCTCTCCTTTTGACCTTTCCCAAATTCTTCCAGTTGGTGGTAGCTTGTTAGTTCCATGCTCCTTACCAGGACCTCCTGTTGTAAGATAACTCATGCCAGTGGTTACTATCGTGCCTGTCCAGGGCGGGCAGTTTTGGTCAGTGGTTCCCCTAATACATCCGTGGATTCAACCAAATGCAGGGCATGTAGTCCTGCAGTATGTATTTAGTGAAAAAAAACTGCCTAGGGCTTCCCTGGTGGTGCAGTGGTTAAGAAAGAATCCTCCTGCCAATGCAGGGGACACGGGTTCGAGGCCTGGTCCAGGAAGATCCCACATGCCGTGGAGCAACTAAGCCCATGTGCCACAGCTACCGAAGCGCATGTACCTAGAGCCTGTGCTCCACAACAAGAGAAGCCACTGCAGTGAGAAGCCCGTGTACCACAACAAAGAGCAGCCCCTGCCCGCCACAACCAGAAGAAAGCCTGAGTGCAGCAATGAAGACCCAACGCAGCCAAAAATAAATAAATAAATAAAATAAAATAAATAAGACTCTACCTCCAAATACAGTCATTAAAAAAAAAAAAAAAAAAACCTGCCTATACGTGGACCTGTGCAGTGCAAACCTGTGTTAACCAAGGGTCCACTATAATTGCTAAAAATAACATAATAAAATACATGTCTAGTGAAGAATAAAAGAGCTCTTTCAATAACTGTAAAACAAGTGATAGAAACCCATTGTGTTTCAGTTTCCTTAAGAGTGTTATTTCTTTCTATATAATAAATAATGCTATGGCATTCAATGGATGGTGTATTAAATCTGATGGAACATGGCATTATTTCACATAAAAACAAGTTTAAAGGAAAAGAGGTTCCCAACACAGGGACAGTGCTCTGGCTCCTTCTCTCCACAATCTATTGGTTCTGCCTCCTCCAGGAAACATTCTTGTCACCTCGGGCTGGCTCCCCTCATGGTCACAAAATGGCTGCTGCTTCTCCAGTGATCGCATCAAAACACAACAGCCAGTGCCCAAAAAGGGGCTGTGTTTCTCCTGTGAATGAAAAATGTTGCCTGCCGTATCAGTAAACAAAGGATGTTGCAGCCATCAAGCCACTACAGCCATCCTGGATGGTGAGCCCTGAGGAAGCTCAGGATGGAGACCAACAGGCTGCCCACTGCCAAGCCCTCAGCCCCTGCAGCCACCCCCAGCGGTGCACCCTGAGGGGACTCAGGATGGGAAAGAAACAGGATACTGGCCCTAGATAGCTAAAGGAAAGATTTCAATGAGCCCAAATTCTTGCACCTCCCCATACATAGAAAAGTGCTAAATTCATTAACTTGACATATCTCGTTTTCTTTAATTAACAGTAATCTTTTGATGTTCCGACTACCTGCTCTTTGTCACAAAACTCCTATATATCCTGTCTGAGAAGCTGCCTCCGAGGCTTGAAGTCCTCAGAAACTCTGCCAAATAAAACATAATTCTCAACTTTTAGGTTGTGCATTTTTTTTCAGTCAACACTCCTTATAAGTGATAAAATCTTTCCCAGAAGCTCCTGCAGATTTCTCCTTCTGTCTCATTGGCCAAAATTTTGTCACATGCCCATGCCCATTGACAGGGGGAACAAACCTACAAGGAATGGCTTAGACCCATCATGTCGCACCCCCTGGAGCTAGAGATGAGGCCCATTCACTGAGCACAAGCAATGCAGAGGAGGGAGGCTATGGGAAAAATCAGAGTTCATGTGGAAAGAGCAGGTGGGCAAATGAATGCTGGGGAGCAACCAACAATGTCTGCCACCGATTCCTAATCACACCCACTGTGTTAGAGGTGCACTAATTCGACTCTCCGAGGACAGCTTCATTTCTGAGTTCTTAAAGGAAGAAACATTTCAGTGTAGTTAGTTTTCCCTTATTAAAAACTTCCATTGATTCCATTTTCATTTCAGCCTCAGACTCATCTTTCCCATGTTTAATAATGATGCTTTTATTCCTAATGTATAAAAATTGCTCCTATTCCAGAGGAAAATTTTCAATAGCTGAAAATCTAAGTTTTGCTGTGTTTAGACCAATTGAGCCAAACATAGACACATAGGGGAACACATATTTAAAGTTGTAAATTTGGACCAAAAGCATATCATAATTGTTTATAGTTTAAATATGCAGTGAATGAAAATAATCTTCATAATTCATTTAAAATACAATATCTTTCTACATTTTGGAATGCCAGTGCTTTGTGAGCTTTTGAGTAATATCAAAAGGTAAAATTACTCGCAGTTTGCCCTTGCAATTCTTGCTTCTCCATTTCTCAGTAGAATGTTCAGGTAACAAAATCCTTCTTCATCAAATAAAATATCTAATTTCATAAACTCTCTCTGACACAATCTCAACCCCACTCTGTAAAATCCCCAAATTATACATGATTTCCAAAACAGGGAGAAATTTGATCTGATAGAATAACAACAGTCTGCAGGAGAAAGCAGAAACAGTCGTGTGCTAAATTACAGCCGTATTTCCTGGACAGATGCTTAGAAAGAGTCAGAATGCCCATTTGGTATGCGGTATCTGGCAAGTCACCCTAATCCTTCATGAGCAACTTTGTGTATTGACTGGATAGATGGATGACTATTTAATTATGCTGTTGAGAAAATACTTACTGCAAAGAATGTGCAATTCTTAATGATTATTGATGATTAGAAAAGTCAAATACCAAGTCAGAGGGAAAAGCTGAAATAAAGATCCTTGAAGAATACAACTAAGAAAGCAGAACTTGATGAAGTATGTTTTTTTTTCTTTTTGACCACGCGGCATCTTAGTTCCCCGACCAGGGATGGAACCCGCGCCCCCTGCAGTGGAAGCACGGAGTCTTAACCACTGGACTGCCACAGAAGTCCCAATGAAGTATGGTTTAATATTGTTAGATAGTTGATGAGAACAAAGACAAGGTTCTGATCTGTAGGTATTTGGGGGCTGAGTGTGTTATAAGTATGAAGGGGTGACCAGCAAGGGAACAAGAGG